TCTATGTCTTGGCTTCTCTTGGACTCTTTTTGTGGACCTTCTCCAAGTATTAGGCTTTACCTTCATACCCTATCAATTGCCCCTTTAGCGTCGGTATGAATATCATGTTGACTTCAACATAAAGAGAGTATTTCGCTAACCTTGCTTTCTCGTCTTCTCGATCAAGTGTTAGCTCTCTTATTTACTTAATCGGCACCAGGCTCTTCCTTTCAAGCGGGTGTTTCATTCCCTTATCCATCTTATGATCTGTTGAGCGCTTGTGCACCCTCGTGGGCGTGCTTGCTTCCAAACAAGATGCAATAAAATGAGAAAGAATAAGCACATGTCTCAAGTAACGAAGACTAGCTAAAGAAGCAATCATGCCCCTTTTATCAAGCGTCTGACGCTTGCATTTTTCCTTTCCTCGTCAATTATTTCCTGAGTGCCTGCTCTTGCATCTTAGAGGATGCGCCTAGACTCGTGTTAGGAGCTCCTAGGCCCTACCGATACGATCTTCTTCCAATCTAGTTGAGCGATTTAGCTCGTGGAGGATTCAATCTATCTTGACAATCAAATGAAATTGAAATAAATTTCTCAGTTTTCCTTTGAACACTCTGTGTCTTGCCCATTTGTGACGAAATCATTTTTGTCATGACATATTTAATACGACAAATTCTGTTTGTCAGCAGCCTGTTTTTGAACCCAATATTATGTGACTTCGTGACAATTTATTTTGTCAGTATATATGGATATTATGACAAATCAAAATCCGTCAATATCTGGATAATCTGACATCCTGATTTTGTCAACATATCTGAAAGTTCACGAATACTGCAGCCAACACAAAATTTTCAACAACCTTGTTCATAATCCTTAATTGAATAACAATGGTGAAAACTAACATAACATTCTGCCTCCATCAGTTCCACTATCACAAACAACCCTACAGCAAGTCCATCTGAAAATGAAAGTTCTACCGACTACCAAACTTTCTAACAAAGCATCCCTACATGCCTCCACTGTCCATGCCCATCCAAAATAAGGTGATGACAGTTCAATCAAGAACTTCTCACTTCCTGTAAACTACCTGTACCGATGAGAACAACAACGTTAATTCTTATTCCACCACACTTAATGAAAACTAATGATGTCTATATATGCCACCAACTTAACGAAGATGGTGCACTAACTATGTAGTGGAGTAAAACAAAACATTCTTCACATTATCTGTAAAGGTTTGTAAAAGCATGACAAGAACAAATGTGTTTCTTCAGAAGTTAGTACCTTCAAACTAAGTTGATCTTTCATTAAGCTTTTGAGCTAGGGACTCCACATAGTCCTTCAAATTGTCCTGTGACTCTTGTAGCTTGTGGATAATCTCTTTCCGAGTTTGAATATCCTGTTGCTGCTCTTCTATTTGCTGCTGTTGGGATTGTATCTGTTCCTCAAACTCTTGCCTCTGCCTCTCCCCTTCAGCCAATGATACTCTTTGAGACTTTGAAAATCCATACGACTTATATGAGGCAGCTAGCGGTCGGCCCACACGCAACATCTACTCTCATCCCACTAAAAGAATCTAGGTCATTATCTTCTCCTAGTTCACCTCTCTCAATTCACAATCTCTAATCGATTCGGCGAAGAGCAAGCATGCGGCAACCATTAAAAGCAGGCCAAGAAATTGAGAAATTATTGCTGCCCATGTAGCTTCAGTTCTCTCATCTCCAAATCCTGATCGGCAAGTGGTATGAGAAGTCGCTAATATTAAACAATCAAATATCCTAGCTCTAGGAAAACTCAAACTCCTTTTTAGTCTCTTTGATCTAAATTATACAATCAAATTTAATTTATATATTTAATTATTAATTGTAAATTTAACTAATTTCGTATTCATTAATACCGATTGAGATACCAAAATACCGATTGGGATACCGAAATATTTAGGGATTGAGATTGAGATACCAAAATTATTTAGGAACTGTGATTGGGATTGATGATTTTAGAGTGTAATTCGGTATTCGGTAATGAAAAACCTCTCGAACCGACCACACACTCAACAAATCAACCACCCACAAGAGCAAAAAAATTACATTTCCTTTTGAATTCCACTCCTGTGTACTGGTCTCCACATTTTATCTTTTAGTCTTTTGAATTCATCTCTCTCAGGTTTTTTTTCATGGAAGTCGAGCAAAACTAGGGGGAAAAAACGAACCACCCCAACCCGTTCCTTTTCCTTCTCTCGATTGATTCTATCCTTCTCCTCTGTGTCCCGTCCCAAAACACCATCGCTTCTCCTCTTTGTCAATGCGATTAAGAGATCCTGACGGCAGGTAGATTGGCGACGAATGTGACCAGATGTTCGCCGGCGAAATAGGTAATTTTTTTTTCTAGGTTGCAGGCTGAATTAATCATGTTATTTATGGATAATTTGTGATTTGCTTTAATTTTTTTGAGTTTTTTTTTATATTGGTGTTGAACAATTTGTATAGTTAATTTGTGATTTGCTTGAATTTTCTAGAATGTTGTTTTATATATGGATAATTTGTATTAAGAGATTGATATTTTACTTTAATTTTGATAAGAACTTGTTATTGTAAATTTTTTACGACAAAAACCTGTGGGTACCCATGAACCTGCGGATACCCAGCGGGTTGGATTGAGTTTGAGTTTTTCAAACATAGTGAGTCTGAGTAGTGAGTTTTACCCCGAATTTTTTTCACGGATAAACCCATGGGTTTGGCAAAACCCGACCCAACCCGACCCATTGCCATTCCTAAATAAAAGGGATGGGTTTTGATGTTTGGGGTAATTTGGAATGGTAAGAGTTTAGAGCTTCTATTGAAACTGAATATTGAGAAAAGGAGAAGTAGAGACTAGAGATGATAACAATGATGATGATGAATGACAGTAATTAGGTAATTTCTCTACCAACCTTATTGTGTTGATGTTTGTTGTCGGTTCTACCCTCTTTTTCTCCAGACTTGTAGTTGTTGTCTTTTTCCTTTTCTGCTTCTAGCTTATTTTCATTTTGTTTGTGTTGTTGGTATAGTGTTGGCTAGAGGAGAAGGAAAGAAATGAAGTTTTATTGGTCTTTTCTCTGTTTTCTGTTGGTTATATTGTTATGACTGAGGGGAGATTGTTGATTTGTTGTTGTGTTTTCAGGAGACCAAGGGAAGAAGAAGAGGAGGGAGTGGTCTGAGTGTACAAGGAAGGGAAGAGAAGTGTGTGTATTTTTTTGGCAGAGTTTTGTTTGAGGGAAGAAGAATCCAAAGGAGGAAGAAGAAGCATATCCTCCTTGTTTGTCTTTCTGTCCTAGAAAAGAAAAAGAATGGTAAGAGAGTTCCCCAACTAAAGAAAAAGAAAGGAGCAAGAAGAAGTCCAAGAAAGGAGGTACTGTGTAAGGAGGAGTGTTTTTTTATTATTTCTTTTGCCTCTTTCTGCCGAAAAAAGAGGAAAGAAGAGTGGTTCTATTTGTTTGAAATTGAGGAGGAAGAAGAAGAAGAACAGCAGAAGAAGAAAGTCGACTGGCCTCGGGGAATAGGTAAAAGAAGAAGAAGAGCCGAGAGTCTCCTGGTCCGAAGCTAGGGGAAGAAAAGAAGCTCCTGTTTTATAATAGGCGAGGTCACTGTTGGGCTCTTCAGTGGAGCATTTTGATTGGGTAGTAGCTATATAGGTTGTTTTGTATTTTCCTGATTGGTAGTTGAGTGTTGGGTTTTGTCTGGTTCAATCAGTTCGGTGCGACTTAGATTGTTTTTGGTCTGAGTTTGATTAGGCCAGTCTGTTACATCTGGGTCTGGGTTTTGACTTGGGCTTGACTAATGGTTGACTTGGGTTGGCTAGAGTTGACTGGGCTTGCACTAGAAGTTTAGAACTAACTTGGGTTGGGTCTGAGTTCACTCGACTTGACTTTGGACTGGGCTTATGCTGTACGATTTGACTTGGAGCCTAAATTCTTTTGTTGTACATAATGTAATAGAAATTTAGCAATGTAATTCATTATGATTAGCAATGTATTTATCTTAATAATGTCGCGATTGACTTTGTTTTATTATTTAGAAATCAAGGCCCACCGAACCAACGACTTAATGAGATGGCCAATAAGCAATGCAAACAAAATTGGATTCATGTCTAACCCGATAAACTCATCACTATTAAATTGTACCAAACAAGATTTGCTATTGCTAATCTAATTTGAAGCAAAGTGACGATCTATCCCAAATACTATAAATACATTTTAGCTAGAAACGCTATTGCAAACCTCAAACACAAACTAAATTTTATTTAATTAAATATGTTTTAATTCGAACAAAAAATGGTGTCTACAATTACTAAAAAAAAATAAATAGCCACCCTACCCCATTCCCTACTATCCACCCTTGTTGGAGCCTAAATAACTCCACCACAATGGACCTTGCCCTTGGTTTTACCATCACAGATGACTTTGACTCGAGCAACGGAAGCCACCAAACCCATCAAGCTGTCGCCCTTCGTGCCATCTCCCTGGACTTACCAAAACAAGGACCAAGAGCATCTCCAAAGCTGCCTCCAAAATTTTAAATAAAAACCTAATAATCCTCGTCACAGTAAAGTTAACCAAGATCACGGGAGTATGAAGGAGACGGAGGAGCAGTGGAGAGGATCAACTGATATAATTCAATGAAAGCTTCATTGATGCGCATCAATCAGCTGAGTTGGCTAAATAATACTCAGCTCCAACAAAACTGGTCAAGTGATATATTTTAACCAGATAACTGCAAGAGTTCACCGGCACCAGAATGCACCAACAAGTTGCTGTCGCGAGGATTAAATGATTGACTAGGGAAATCAAAGTTGAGCCAGGACATAATTTGATTACTCTCACATGAACTCTTATTTCCAGTGGAAGCTCTTAATTTTCAGAAAAAGGAAAAAACAGAGAATATTGAGGCTATTTACAAGTGAAAGTTGTAGCTGGTTTCTTCTATCCCGCTGTCAAGAAGCCTCTACAATGATGTCTGTCAATAAGTGATGCTGTGGACAGAAGCCTACATGTTGAAGGTTGATTTCTGGTGCTTCGCCTTGGAGTAGTCATCTATCCAACCTCGGATAAGCTTGATCTCAGTTGCTCTCTGTTGGATCAACCAGTCAGGATCCCCTGGGGTCGAAGGCCGCAAATCGATGTGGTGCGCACCTGAGCATTAAGCAGCCATTTTCCCCCCCTCCATAAATAAGCCAAGAAAGGAAACATAGATAGAAACAAGTTACAGGACGCTTAACAATCACAGTTGGTAGTCCGCAGACAAACAAAATACCAAACAAAGAGCATATTTTGCTTAATGTTTTAATTCGCATTCAAAATCAACTATACTTCAGCAACACAAACGGCATAGTTATCACTGAGCACAAATAAACTTTGCACAATCTGTAATAGTTCAAAGCTTCTTATTCACAATTTGGGTACGCAGGCTAGTGCAATGCCATCATTTAGGGCATCTGAAGTAATTTTGGTTTAGAAAGAAAAATAAGGCGTACCTTCTTCCGTAACAAGGGCAATAATTGTGTCGGATACATTCTGCAAGACACTGCCACAAAAACGGTTGAACCACCGTTAATAAGACAACAGCTCAGATTGTGAAACCGTTTGATAAAAGCTAAAGTTGCCGAGGCTAGTTTACCTGCCACCACTCCATGGATCCAGCAGACCATTAGAGAATATCATGTTGCTTCCAAATGTTCTCAGGGCAGTGCGGATATCCTTCATGGCAAAAGCAGCGGAAAGAATGGAGTACAATGTTATCAGTAAGGTGTTCTGCAATTTTCAAAATTACGGAAGTGACAGAAATGACCATGGCAGGCAGATCTAACTCTAGCTGTTTATCTTAATCTAGAATGCCCAAAATAATTTCTACATGCAGTAGTATGCATGTGCAAAGGGAAACTTCGTCAACATTATCAAAGATTAATGGATTGTGTTTGAGTTGCACATTTCAGTAGTAACTTATCTATTGTTTCATTCACCCGTGGAAGTTGGCTAATTTCATTCTCCAAGATATTCGCGAGGAAAGGAGAATCAAATACCAAATAATGCTACACGAGATCAATCCAACTATCCATTATTATATTTAAATCCTCGAGCAACAAATATGAAACAAGATAATTTTCTACTTTAAGAACTTCCTCGGTTTAATATTTTTGACAAGTCGTGAGAAATTCAAGAAATACCATCATCTTTATCATGCTCCGGAGATGCCCACTACAACTAATTGTTGCACTAGGTTTTATTTTCAGGTTCCATACAAAGATCCTAATGCCGAGTAAACAGGGTGTCAACAAAGTTTGTGTGCCACACCCCCACGAAATTCCAACTATTGACAAGAAAAGAACTCCTGCCGAGAAGGCAGTAATCCTAAAAATTAGTTACTCCAAAGACACATTTAGGTGTTGTTTTACTGGTAATGGTATGTAAAAGAAAGACAATTGCACGCTATCCAGGCATTGTTAAACTCAAAACTTGACTACTAGGCTACTTTTTTTTTTTTACTTACATGTCCACCAAATTCTGTTGTCACCCATCTAGGTCTTGGCAGAACACTGAAAGTTCTCCAGCAGTCCTGTTCGTAATCAGAGTAAAGAAAATCATACGGAGGAAACATGCTTGTTTCCTTGTCACTGGACATTGGCATAACCATCTCAGTGCATGCCTGGGAAAAAGTAAACAACATTAGATAAATGTAACTACGGCTGTGAGCAGCATCCATTGTTATCAAATAATAGGAATACTGACAAGTAAGAGACTAGGGCTGAAACTTAGTGACCTGCCAATTCCAACCATCCAAACCGTGTGGATCATCATCAAGTTCAAAGCAGCTAGCTGTACCAGTGTAATTATAATAGATGCTTACACCAGCAAAAATGCGCTCCAATACACTACTCCCTTCAGGACTGTCATCAATTTTCCTGCAGACCTGAGAAAAAGCAGCACAGATGTCTCCGGTAATGGAATGATCTCAACTTGCCCAATTTGCATTCACAAATGTCCTCAGAATCTATTTACAACTATCAGATCATCCACAGACATCCCCCAATCTTTTTGTTTCCATCCAATCCCATAGAGCTAAACAGAATGCATATGAATTGATATGAAATAGAATGCAGCACCAAACGACCTCTCTAATTGGGTGGCCAGGCAGAGGCATCATAAAGGAAGATGGATAAGGGTAATCCACCATTGCCAAATAGCTATAAGCAGATTCCAACCAGCCAATGAGATCTCCAGTACTTTTCAACTCCCTGCCAAAATTATCTTCAATCAGTCAATACCCAAGGAGAAGACAACAAAGGGAAGACTTAAAATCCTAAGAGCACAATATGCATGTAATATTCGACTTCTATTCATATCGTTTTCCTCACCGACAGAAGTGGAAAGTTTTGGTCAATAGTGAAAGGCCATTGTCTTTCCGGCCCTCGGCCTCTACTTCACCCCATGACTTCTTTATGGTATCAAAGCAGCTGGTGCTTTCACGCTGAGGGCATATAAAATAACATGATTCAGCATTCATGAAACAGAAATAGAAAGAAGGAACAAATTCGAAGTACTAAGAACAGCATGCCTTGAAATCATTCGAAACGATGTTGTAAAACGTGTCCGGTGGCACGATGTTTTCGAATTGAAGAATTGGAGCTGAAGAAGCCAGTGCACCAACTGTAAGGTGTGGATACTTGAGCCTCATCCACGCTGCTAACACTGTACCATCCAAAGAAAGACCTAGCAATTAGCATTCATCAAAAGGGGATTCATGAACAGAATCCTTCCAATCAAAATTTGTGGTTGAAACAGAAACAAGAGAGCTAATGAATGTGTATGGACTCTTGTAGCTTGATGTTGTGAAAATAGGAATGATCAAGTCACATTACTTCCGCCATAAGATCCACCAAACAGCACAACCGGGCAATTCTCGGCGGATAAATTCCTCTTCAAATCCGTGATCAACACTGCGTAATCAGCAAGTGCTTGCTCAGCAGTTAGATACGCCAATGTTGTAGCGTTCTTATAAGCTTCTTCCTGGCTCCCGTACGGCATCGATTCCCCGTAGTAACGATGCTGAAATAAAGATTCGTATCTCTCAATTGAAACAGGAACTGGGAACCAGAGAGCAAAATTAATGAAACCCTCGGTACCTCGGGGAAAAGGATCATGGCGCCAAACCTCGGAGCAATCTCCCATACAAAGCCGGTGTTGACGGCGAACCACTCGATGTCACCTTCATTTCCACAGTAGAGGAAAATCGGCCCCCGCCGTTCAGGACCAATCCAGTGCTCTGTGTTTATGAGGTATCGTTGTCGAAACTTGGGAAGATCGGCGAAGCTGAAGTGATCGAGGTCCTGGAGAAAGTATCGAGTCTGGTAATTGTACTGCTGCCGCTGTTGGACTTTGATTGGGTGTGAGCGTTTACCGGGAAACAGTGGGGCGCGTCGGAAGGATGGAAGTGTTGCTGCCGGCTGTGACGGCGGAGATCGCGAAGATGCTGGAAAGACGGCGGCGGTGGCGATAACCAGGAGCAGTAGAGGAAGGAGGGGTTTTTGACCGTCGATTCCCATGCTCACTGGTGAGCTCTTTTTCGCCGTAGTTTGCTCGATGCTTAGTGAGTGAACTGTGGTACTAGTGAAGGAATATTTTGAGGTGGTTTTGCTTGCAGGAGCAGGATTTTTAGGCTAAGAAAGATGGTTGCTTTGCCGAATGACGCGTGGACGATCTTTTAAATCGCGATTGTTAGGAGCCAGGAGGCCAGTCGGGACTCGGGACGGTAATGGGGCGGGTCGAATTGAGAGCGGATCCAGTGACTAAGGGGGTGCTTAGTCACTTGACTAAGCCTCTCCCAGCCCTTAGTTCTGGACACTTCAATCCAATGGTTAAAAAGTGAGAAGGGTGACTCACTAAAACACAACACCTAACAATGGCCAAGTGTAACCAATGAAAGGGACTGCAGTATAGTGGCACAAGTAATAAATATCGAATCCACGGGTCTCTAGAGTTACTATTACTCAGCTTCAGTTCATTATCTAGCAAACTAGATTAAGGATTGATTAACTAAACTACTCTACTAACTAAACTAAGTAAAACTACTAATTACAGTTTGGGAACTCACTTAGGTATGATTCCCCCTAGCTCCTCAATCAGGTCCAAGTTGTAATTCCTTTTGGTTGATTTACTGTTGATTAAACTGCGGAAGATCCGACAGTAGCTTGGAATCTCTTAAGCTGACCAAGCCCTCTCAGTCTAACTATCCGGCAGACGACTAGTCTTCACCGGGATAGAAAGCTGAAGCAATAAGCACAGAACTCCACTACTGGAATTGGATTCCAGTACAAAGCAGTAAACTGGCTAACTCTCGTATAGCCAATCTCCTACTACCGAATGATGAGACTCTAGCAACCTAATCAGATTCTATCTATCTCAGATTGCAGCAGGAATCAGGAAAAGTTGATCAGACTTCAATTGACTCAATAAACATGCATCATTCGATTATAATCAAACAATATAGCATCCAAAACTTCATACAAGAAAGATCCTAACTCATGGAACTAAGGTTCCTCAAAACCTAAGTGAAGGGAAGTTACTCCATAGAGAAGAGAGAGACTGCAGAAATCTGATCTAGATCTTCAATCTCCATCTCCAAGCTTGATTCCCGAGCTCCAATGGCGAAGAAATCCTCCAAAATAGCTCCAAGAATGCTCCCAAGTCGCTCTCTCTCTCTAGGGTTCGTCCCTTGGGTGTTTGGGATCCAAAACCCAGCTCTCCCCCTTTCCTTTTGCTGAAAATCGGGTTTTAAACAGCAATTCCCGACTCACACGGCCAGGCCACACGGCCGTGTGGCTTTCCCAGCTGCCCGTGTGAAGGCTCGGTGATTTCCACACGGCCACATGGCCAGGTCACACGGCTGTGTGGCTTGTGCCCGTGTGGCTTGCTCAGCCTCTGTTTAATGCTTCGTTTCTCCCTCGTCCGGACTCCGAATCAGTCGCCGTTTGATCCCAGACGCTCGTAGTCTCGTCCTCTTTTTTTTCATGACAAGCTTGCATGATTCTTTGTCCATAAAGTGAGGTAGAAATCCATTATTCTTCAGGTCATACCCGAGTTTCTTCTCCCGAATCGTCAATTGATCTCTGATTGACTTGAAACTTGCGCCTATGCTTCACTTTATGTGCTAGGACCTGAAATGTGACAAAGGAACACAACCTAGCGTAAAATAGGCCAAAGACACGATAATTCAAGCTCAAACAATCAAGAAACAAAGGGGAAAACATGTGCAAATACCGAGTCATCAAAGGGCTATTTAATTAATTACATGGGTAGTTTGGGTATTATGGAAAATTATGAAGTATACAAACCGGATTTACAATCAGTACAAACCATACAAACATACGAACACTACAAACTAGAGCGACAAAACATACAAACAGATTTACAAACATTACAAACGTTTGAACTGTACAAACAATACAAACTAGACCGACAAACAATACAAACTATAAAAAAAAGAAAAAAAAACCGGGTTGACTTTTGAGGCTCCATCCCTATATAGAGGGGCTCCTTCCCAAAGTCAACTCGGGTGTTTCTTTAGACATACAAACAGTACGAACATGGTGGACAAAAATGACAAACTAGACCGAAAATCCATACGAACGGGAAAAAACTCCCGGGTTGACTTTGGAGGCTCCATCCCTATATAGAGGGGCTCATTCCCAAAGTCAACCCGGGTGTTTTTTAGACATACAAACAGTACGAACATGGTGGACAAAAATGACAAACTATACCGACAAACCATACGAACTGAAAAAACACTCGGGTTGACTTTAGAGGCTCCGTCCCTATATAGAGGGGCTCCTTCCCAAAGTCAACCCGGTTGTTTTTTAGACATAAAAAACATTACAAACATGGTTGACAAAAATGATAAACACGATACACAAAAATAACAAAGTTTACAAACATTACAAAAAAAACCGACAAACATTACAAAATAACAAAGCGTACAAACATTACAAAAAAAACCCGACAAACATTACAAAATAACAAAGCGTACAAACATTACAAAATAAACCGACAAACAATACAAAGCATACTAACAGTAAAAAATCTCTCTCTCTCTCTCTGCGCCACCAGGGAGCCAAATAATTCCAATGGCAGGACACTCTCTCTCTTGGGATATATTCTCAAAGGAAGGGGAATTATGGCGCCGTCCCGGGAAAAATGGGCCGCCGGCGAATTACACGCCAGAGGAGTGAAGGATCGGCCGACGGGAAGGTTCGGAAGTCTCGGCGAAAAAAAACGCAGGCCGCGCGGAGAAGGGAAAGGATCGGGGCTGAATTTTTATTTATTTTAATTGGTAAATAAAAATTAAATAATTAAATTACTACATTGCCCTTCATTAAATTGGATTAATCAGGGCCATTGGATTTTAATGAGATGGAAGGGCTGAGATTCACTTAGTCACATGACTAAGGGACCCCCCCTTAGTCACCTGATCTTAGCCTTGTTGAATTTCCCATGTTCATCCCTAATAAGGGTAAATTGCAATTTTGGTAATTGAAATTACTTAAAAATTCACGTTTGCGGCTAAAATTAATTTATTCTATTTGTAGTCACTCAAATTAGTTCAATAGTACAAATTTGGTCACTCTACGTTAGTCTCCGTCAACTTTAGCTTATGTAACAGTCAACTCTGAAAATTGACCGTTAAATAAGTGATGTGACAATTAAAAAAAATAAAAACGAAAATTTAAAAATTTCACCTCATTATCACAATAAATAAAAACAAAAAATAATTGCAATAACAAAATATGCAAAATTGGGAAACAAAATTCATTCCTCATCTTTTCCCGGTTCCCCATCCCACTCCGGCGACCCTCATGACTGTCCACTCCATGCCCCCTGCTCCCGATCTTCAACGCTTTCAACCACAATCTTCTTCCCTTCATTTAAACCCACATCAGGTGTACTCGAGACACGCGAAGGTAGTGTTGAATGTGACAGTGGAAGGGGGACCCAGGTCCGGTGAGAACGATGGTGAAACTGGGCTCCACCGTCGAAGAGACGATTGGTCTCGTGGTGAACAAGTACTCCGAAGAGGGAAGAACTCACAAGTTTGAAAGAGATTTTGAATCGTCTACGAATTGCACCACTCCCACTTCAGCCTCCAATGTGAGTCGTTCGGGGATAATAATTCCACGTTCACTTGCTTTCCAATTTTTATAGAGGATTGGATTCCCTTGTTTTCTAGTTTCCTATTTCCTTTCAATTTTCAATATTTCCAATTGTAAGTTGTAACCACCTTCCCCGTTGGCTGATTCTGTCAAATAATCTAGCACAATCAACGAAATAACACACAATGTTTTTTAACGTGGTATCATCAATGTGACACTAGTCCACGGGAAGGATCTCCCTCTTAGGTTTTGTCTTTTCTTATTCGTTAACCTTGCCATGTACAACCGAGCAACTATATATAGGGTTCTACAAGATTAATCCTAACTACATATTTACATAATGGTACCTAAATTATATATATTCAACACCCTCCCTCAAATTGATGTTGGGTTCTTAACATCAATTTGGAATCTAGGTACAAGTGTCTACTTGAGGCAACAACCTTTGTCAACAAATCTGCAGTTTTTTCCTCTGTATTCAAATAGCTGAGCTGGATTGACCCTTCGGCTATCAATTGGCGAATATAGTGAACATGTACCTCTATGTGTTTTGTCCGATCATGCAGTACTAGATTAATTGCTATCTGTATAGCACTAATATCTGCATAGGTTGACTAACCCCTCGCCCAATTGCAACATTCATGCATTAAATCACAAAATCCCCTCACCTAAGAACCCTAATCCGATTCTCCAAAATTAACAAAGTACAAGTTCAAAACACACCTGGAGACTCAAGTAGGATCGAAGGGGAAGGTGAGGAGAGGGCGAGGGAGTAAAAAAACAGTCGAAAAACTGGCCGTAGAGGCTTGATGGAGCTTCACCTGAAGCTCGCCCAAAGCTCATCGGAAATCGCCACGCCGGAAAAAATTCGAGCCAAATCGCTCCAAAACTTTGGCAAAGGGGCGTCCGGACGTGGGGATATTAGGTGTAGTTTTGGATTTTGGTTTGGGTGGCCGGAAGTCGCTGAAATCGATGGAAAACAGAGGTTTGTCGTGTTTTTCGGCGGTGTTTCAGAGAATTCCGGCAGAGATGAGGCATGAAGTGAAGAGGAAGGGTTCACGAACGGGGGTAGATTTTTACGATCACTAAGACCGTGAAAATAACTCTACAACCGTGATCTCAGGAAAAAAATGATGCATTTTGAAAAACTGGGACTGCCCCTCGAGATCACGGTCTGACGATCGCGATAATAGAGCTAAAACCGTGAATTAGAGAAAAACAAAGCATTTCCTAAATTTTCAAGACTCGATCTAATCAACCGTGGCCCTAACTCAATCAAAACATATCCAACACATTCAGTCACACAGCTCTGGCACGGTGATCACTATGCAACCACTTGAACTCATCACTTAATCACAAAAAGAGAAAATAAGAAAAGAAAATAAACCTACGTTGGATTGCCTCCCAACAAGCTCTAGTTTAACGCCACCAGCTCGACGTTGCGGATCTTTCATTTTTGGAAGCACGAGGCCTCCGAGAGTGGATCTGACACGGTCTCAGGGCAAGGCTTGTCACCTCCCATCTTACGCTCCAAAGGATGGCCTTCTTGGTCGGGCACTTTCGCCTTACCCTTGCTCTTCTTTTGGGTAAAGGCGTGGCTCATATTTGCACGCCACACTTTCTTCTTCCTCCCTTCGGGTTTGGTACCCACCTTAGGTCCTTGTTTCACATCATCACAAGGAGTAAGAGCACTAGTGGGGTTTGCCTTGAGTGGCTCCCCTCCACTTCCAAACATACCATTCGATTCCACTTCCTTAATATCATTCTTCTCACTCTTAGGGTCAACCGAAAAAAATAATTTGCTCCTCTCCATCTCTCAAGATCAAAGTACCCTCATTAACATCGATTAAATCATTGGTGGTGGCAAGGAAAGGACGTTCTAGTATGAGGGGCATATCCGCATCTTCACTGATGTCAAGGATGATGAAATCCGTCGGATAATAAAATGCGCCCACCCTCACTAGAACATCTTCCACAATAAGCCTAGGACTAATCACCAAACGTTCAACAAATGTGACACTTAACCTAGTGGGTTTCAATTCACCTAGGTTCAATTTCTTGTAAAGGTTAAATGGCATGACGTTAATACTTTGACTCGCACGAAACTACACCACAAATTAATCGCAACTAGAGTCCAAGTTTTTAAACTCTAGCCGGGTGCAGTATAGAGCAAGTATTTAAATTGTCAACCCGGGCCGGTCCATGTGCCCCTACTTCAATCGCTTAGGTTGTTATCTAGCAAGCAACTTTAGGGTTTAGGTTTATTGGAACTACAAACTAAACAAGCAAAGAAAAGTAAATAAAGGAAAATCCTAACTAAGGGAGCTTCACCCAGGAGTTTCTCCCCCCTAACTAGCTACCATGACTCGTTGGATTGAATGGAGTCGTGTGGCGTAGGTGGTTGTGAACCGCAGGGGTGAGCAATTAGTGATCGATTTGTCACGGAATCAAATCACTAGGGATCGATTTATCACGGGATCGAATCACTAGCGATCGATTTGTCACGGGATCGATCCACTCACCAAATCTAGGGGAAGCACTAGGAGGAGCAACTAGTGATCCATTTGTCACGGGATCGATTCACTGGAGGTCGATTTGTCACTGGATCGATCCTCTCACTCAGTCACTAGTGGTTGCCTAGGTCACTCCATCAAACCGGAGTTTGAGCGGCTTAATTGCAACCAACCTAGATGCAAACTGGTAATCGTGAACCGTAGAGGGATGCATATATGGTTGGAGACCACAATCTCAATTGCTAGACCGAGGTAAGCATGAAAGGCCGTGTCACTCGACCCTCTCGGTTTAGACAATCGGTAGTTCACTTACTCCCTCACTCAACTCTAAGGTTGGACGACTTGATCACGATTAACCGATTTGCTTAACTCAATATTGAGGGTTGCCCTAACTTAACCTAGTTTAGGTGGCTTAGAAAGCGGAAGGAAAACCAACTCGATTGAGTCTCCCTCAAAAGGGTATTTTCCTCTCTAAGCTAGGCTAATGTGGCTAATTAGATTGCTAGCACCAACATGCACAAACCTAAGGGTGCTAAGCACAATTATGCACAATCCTTAGGTTGCTAAGCACCAAAATGCACAAACCTAAGGATGCTAAGCACAAAACATGCACAACCCTTAGATTGCTAACCATGAGCATGCACAATCACCATAAAAACACCTCTAATACTCAAATTGATGCAAACCCACACTTAATCATTCAATCTAAACAAGTACTTACAAAGTATTAGTTAGGGATCTACAACACCTAAAGAGAAAAGAGTGAGTTTCTAGAGAGAGAGGGATTACAAATTTGAGCTCAAGATCTTCTTCTTCTTCTAGGCTTGAATCTTCCACCCAAGCCACCAATGATGCTCCAAGATCACTCTAGCACTCTCTCTCTCTCACTAGAACTCCCCTTTGGTGTTTAGGTTGACACCCTAGAGAAAGAAAGTGTTTCTTCTCCAGAAAAACCGGCTCTCCTTTGTCTCTCCCCACCGTTGTGTTCATATTTGCCCGAGAGTGACCAGTTCACAGTCGTGAACACCTAAACCCGTCCTTGACCTCGGTGTCGTCCAAAAAGTGCCGCTTCACTCGCCTGGGTTCACGGTCAATGGCCCCAGTTCACGGTCTTAGAGATCGTGAACTGCCTTGTCGTCAGTAACTTCACGAACCTCGCTGGACTGCTCGATGTACATAGCTTGTGGTCCATGTTCACGGTCTTAGGAGACCATGAACTGCCTTATCCGGCCATGAATTGCGGTTGTTTCCTGGGACGCCTTCACTTCACTGTTATGGGGCAATTGTCACGGTCATCACACTTTTCTTCGGTTTCTGCGCTTTTTGACCTCTAAATATCCCAAAACTCGTCCTCGACCCTTCCACACGTGCTAGGACCTGAAATGTATCAAAACAAGCACAACCTGCCGTGAAATATATCGATGAACGATGAAATACTAAGCTAAAAGAATAAGAAATGAGGGGTAAAATGTGTACATTTGGGCCTGAATCATGCTTGCACCTAAATCCGCCAAGAAATTTTCTATATGGCATATGCTACGATGCAAAGAGGGATAGTGAAACTACCTGGATCTTGTTGCTTTTTAGGCAACTTGTTCTGAATGAAGGTCAAGCACTCCTCGCCTAAGGTGACGATTACGAGTTCTTCAAACTTTTGCTTCTTCGCAAGAAGCCCCTTTAGGTACTTGGCATACCTTGGCATGTACACCATCGCCTCCAAGAAAGGAATTGTAATGTGGAGCTACTTGAGAATCTCCATGAACTTTCCACATTCCGCCTCCAACTGGTCCTTGTGCACTCTCGTAGGTAAAGGAATAGGAGGCTCGTACTCAGCCACTAGTGGTGGCTTTGGCAATGCCTTCTTATCCTCTCCCCCTTCTCCTTCCGGGAGTTCTTGATCATCAACTGTTGGAGGGGTCTTTTCTTCTTTGATTACCTCCTTAGCAACAACATCCGGAGTTACCTTCCTGCTCCTCAAGAGAATAACATTCAACCTGGCATTTTGATCCTTGGGGTTGGCAATAGTTTGGGGAGGTAGAGATCCCCTTGGTCTCTCGGTAAGGATCCCGGCAAGATTGCCGATTTGAGACTCCATGTTTTGAAGACTTGCTTGATGGCTTCTTAGACCCGTCTCAACAGAAGAAAACTGTTTGTTTCTACATCCATGAATTGCTCGATCTTCTCAAACTTTTAGGAACTAGTACTCACAAATGTGGTAACTAGGTCTTCAAATTTCGCAAACTTATCGGATTGTTGTTGTTGGAACCCTTGACCACCTTGCGGTTGGAATGATTGTTGTTGGAAATTCGAGCCTTGGAATTGGGGCCTTTGTAGAATGAAATGAGGCCCTGGTTGATAGTTCCTCGTCGGTCTTTGGAAATCGGGGGGTCTTAGATTTCTTGGGGAGGACCAAGCAAAGTTTGGATGGTTTCCCCACCCCAAGTTTTAAGTGTTGCTATAGGGGTCGTTATTGTTTCCCGTAGCATTGGCGATGTAGCTTACTTGTTCTTCGGAGGTGCTTGCTTCCTTCATCAATTGGAACTCCACAATCTCATGGTTGGTACTGGAACACTAATCACACGCCATCAATGGCTTCTTCAAAAAGTGCATTGATCAACTATTCAATCTTGGCGGCGAGCGGAGGACTCGCCTATGTGGAGTGTACTCCTCTCTTGGCATCCCTTCCACCACATCTCGTCGAACCCCAACCATACCCCTTTGTCGCCATGTCTTCAAGCAAAGAGGTCATTTTGAGTGGAGTCCTCTTCGTCAAGTTACCTTGACATAGAGAGTCAATGAGAATCTTGTCTTCTTGAAGGAGACCGTCGTAGAAGATTTCGATCCAAAAATTCTCTCCAAACCCATGATGCAGGCATTGGAGGAAAAATTCTGAGTACCTCTCCCATGCATCCCTCAATGTCTCCTCCTCCTCTTGAGCGAAGTGGGTGATCTTCTTTTGCCACTCCACTGTCTTGGAAGGTGGACAATATCGGGCCATGAGCTTGTTGAGCAAGTCGTCCCATGAGGTAATCGAGAGGGTTGTTCTATTGTTGAGCCACCGGAGCGCTTTCCCCGCATGAGAGTAGGGGAAAAGCTTCAACTTCAAAGCCTTATCGGATACCCCATTGATCTTTAAGCTTCTCGCAATCTCAATGAATCTCTGGATACGATCCCTTGGGGACTCATCCTGAAGACCTTGGAACTGGGTGTTGTTCTGGATTATTGTGAAGAGGTCGGGCTTTATCTTGAAATTGTTGGCGGCCACGGGTGGATGTAAAATGGTCGGTTGGATATCCGACCGCCCGTGGAGCGATATAGTAGCCCATGGTCCCCGGTTCTTCATCTCCATTTGGAGCAATTTTATTCTCCGCCATCTCGGCTTCACTTCCTTCCTCTTCCTCTGGTTCAAACTCCTCTTCAACTACAACTTCGGGACCAACTTGTGGTTGTCCCCTCTCCTCTACCATTCTTCTCGATTCTGCCAGCTCCCTCTCATGAGCCAAGAGTCTGAGAGTGCGGTTGAGTTTCTCGACTAGTGACGCCCAAGGTTTCTAATTACTCTGGGCCATACACCCTCCTGCACACACTTCAAAGAAACACAACTCGTCTAACACAAGCAAGATTCATAAACAACAAAATAAAAAGCAAACGCTATATTAACATCCAACAATATTTTCAAAACAGTGGACCAAGGTTCCCCGGAAACGACGCCAAAATCCTGACTCGTCCCGAATATCACAATAAAATCCCGACTAAGGTCCAAGTATAAACCTTAACCGGGTGCGGTATAGGGAAAGTATGTTTTAAAAGTCATACTCGGGCCGGTCCATGTACCCTACTTCAATTGTTTGAAAAAATTATCTAGCAATCGAGTTTTAATTGAAACTATAAACTAAAGTTGAAAGCAATTGGAAATAGGGATGGAATTCGGTACGGTATCGGTATCCCAATAACAAATAACGAAATCCCGAATACCAAATTATACTCGAAAGTCAATCCCAATCTCAATCCCTAAATAATTTTGGTATCCCAATCCCTAAATATTCTGGTATCCCAATCGGTATTATTGAATACGAAAATTATTACATTTGAAATAAATAAATAATTATATAAATTAGATTTGATTGTTTAATTTAGGGCAAAGAGACTAAGCAAAGAGTCTTGAGTTTGCCTAGAGCTAGTATATGGATAAGGAGAATGAAGGAGAGGTGACATCTCAAGTTCTTGTCATTGGTAATCTTTAATTTGACGAATTGAAAGCTAAGAGTCGACTAATACTAGTGTTTGCTTTTTTGTGTTATGAAAATAACAAGTTATTAGGTGAGAGATGAGAGTGACTTAAATTGGAAAGTCAAAATTGAGCTGGATGGGGACTTTTGAGTTGTGAAACAAAGATGAAATTATCAATATATAATTAAATGACACTCTTGGTGGTTGAGGGTTATGTAGTAGTGAATGAGAGAGTCTAGTTGAGAGGATAAAATACACACTAGCTTATATTTTGGTATTGATCAGTATTTTGGTATATACCGATCTCAATCCCATAATCCCCAATACCGAATTACAATTAAAATTCAATCCCAATCCCAAGAAATACAACGTGTATTCGGTAATACCAAATATAGATAAATTCGGTACGGTGTTCGGTATATCCCAAATAGCGGTACCAAACTTCCAGCCCTAATTGCAAATATAAATGGTTTTGAACACTAATTGAGAAGGCTTCACCCGGGTGTTGCTCCGCTGCAAATAGTGATGGCAACAAAACCCGAACCCACGAGTACCCACCCGACCCAATCCATTCAACGCGGGTAAAATCCGTGTTGACGGGTTTTGGACCGGGTTTGGGTTTAAACTCGTTCACTATTCACCGGGTTGGGTTAGGGTTTAGGTAAACCCGACCCATGGGTACCTGCCCACACCCATATAATTAATTTTCTCGGTATATTTAATGTTCTAAATAAATAATCTTATTTATGTTTGTGGAGACATGTCTAATTTTTTCTTTCTAATTGTGTAGAATGAAGTTGATGTTATCGAGTGGAGAGTGAAGAAACTTTATTGATAGGAAGAAGCTTTCAAGTAATCATGTTATTTATGGATAATTTGTGATTTGATTCAATTTTCTTGAGTTTTCTATATTGATGTTGAACAATTTGTATGGTTAATTTGTTATTTGTTTGAATTTTCTAGAATGGTGTTTTTTATATGGATAATTTGTATTGAGAGGTTGCTATTTGACTTTAATTTTGATAGGAACTTGTTATTGTAAATTTTGTAGGACAAAAACCTGTGGGTACCCATGAACCCGCGGATACCCACCGGGTTGGGTTGGGTTTGAGTTTTTCAAACCCAGTGGATTTTACCCCGGATTTTTTTCACGGATAAACCCAAGGGTTTGGGTTTGGAAAAACCTGATCCAACCAGATCCATTGCCATCCCTACCTGCAAATGTGTGGTTGAAGCGGTTGTAAACCGTAGGGAAGCGCAACAAGTGAACAAGCTTCACTCTCTAGGTCACTAGGCCAAGGGATATTAAATCAAGCTACCAAAGTAGCTCTCTTGGCCAATCGACTAAGGGTTGCTTAGGCTTCTCCCTCGAACCGTAGTCCGGACGGTCAAAATAAAACCTACCCAAGGTGCTAACACGTAGCATGAGGTTTGCCCTAATTCAACCTAAGTAGGTGACACAATTTGGCCAAGAAATTCCAGCTTTTACAAGCCTCTTAGCAATAACCGGATTTCCCTCTACCTAGGTCAAATTGGCATAAGATTTGGAAATGGAAAACACAACACAACTGATAAACCCTAACTAGTCAGCATTTATCGAAGGGAGATTGATAACGGACAATATTGTGCTTGCTAATGAGTTAGTTAAGTGGTATAGAAGGAAAAATGTCTCCCTCGATGTGCTCTCAAGATCGATATCATGAAAGCTTTTGATAGTGTAGACTGGGACTTCCTTAATTGTTTTTAATGGCAATGGGATTCCCTGAAAAATTTGTTCGTTGGATTAAGAGTTGCTTAGAGTCAGCTAGCTTCACAGTGTGCATAAATGGAGGTCTAACATGGAATTTTCCCGCAAGAAAAGGTCTTAGGCAGGGTTTCCCCTTGTCCCCTTACTTGTTTGCCATTAGTATAGAAGTATTAAGTTGTATGTTGGATCGTGCGGCAGAAAGATCTTTTCTTCCGTATCATCCTCAATGCAACAGTTGAAAGCTCACTCATCTATGTTTTGCTGATGATTTGTTGATCTTTACTAAAGGGCCAGTAGAAGGGGTAGAAGTAGTAGCTAAGATCCTACAGAAATTTTATCTAATCTCAGGGCTTAAATGTAATCCAAGCAAGAGTGAGATATTCAGTGCAGGGGTGTCTGAAGGGTTAAGGGCAGAGCTAGCAAGAACTTATGGGTTTCAGGAAGGGCATTTACCAGTTAGATATCTGGGGCTTCCTCTCAATGTAGAGAAACTCTCGGTAGAAGATTGCAAAGCTTTAATCAATAGAATTGCTGGCAGAATCAAAGGATGGCAGCCTAAACTTCTATCATATGCGGGTAAATTAGAGATGGTCACTTCAGTGCTAGCTAGTATGACACAATATTGGATGAATGTGATTTTGCTCCCTAAAAAGGTAATCAAGGAGATAGAACTTCTCTGCTCTCAGTTCCTATGAGGAGACTTAGAGAAGAAGAAAAAGGCAAGGGTGTCCTGGAAAATGGTGGCTCTGCCTCGTGCTGAAGGTGGACTGGGTTTCAAAGATCTCAGTTCTTGGAATAAGGCGTGTTTAGCGCGACATATATGGGGAGTACTGTCTGATCAAAAAAACTCTCTGGATTGCCTGGTTAAAGGATTACAGACTTCGAAACCTCGGCATCTGGGAGGTACAAACGAGAGGTTCTTGGGTTTGGAACAAAATCCTAAACTCAGAGATCTTTTTGCAGATAAATTGTGCAAAACAGCGCGCGGGGTGGAATGGGAAGGTGCTGAAATGCCCAGATTCCAGATTAGTAAGGTGGGGCAGAGTGTTAGACCACAAGGGGAAACAGTGGCATGGGCAAATTTGATGTGGAAGAAAGGAATACCTAAGAACTCGTTGCTGGTATGGCTTATATTGTTGGGGAGGATTACTACATTGGATAAAGTTCAATGCTGGAATGCAGAGGTAAATGTCACCTGACCTTTGTGCAAGCAAGAAAATGAATAGCGAGAACATATTTTCTTCCAGTGTGGTTATGTGCTGGACGTTTGGAAAGCTGTGTTTCCTGATTCATGGCAGCTTCCTATAGAGGCTAGCTTGCAGGCAGCAGTGATAACAGCGAATAAGAAATTTGGTGGATGTCAAGTGGGTAGAATTCTATGGTGCCTTGTGTTGAATGAACTATGGAGAGAGAGAGGTGTAGAAGACTCTATGGAGGGAAGCAGATGCTAGTGGTTGAGCTGGTCCTGAGAATGTAGAAGGTAATGGAGGCAAAGGAGCTTGGGGATCATGATTTTGCGGCGTCGCCAGCAGCAAGGTTTCTTTGGTATAAAAGCTAGTTTGCTAGTTGATTAGTCTGCAGTAGAAGGAACGTTGTTCTCCTTCTTTTTGGTTTGTGTGGACAGTCAGGTTTCTTGTACAAAGTTAAAAACTATGTGCTGATAGTAAAGATGAATAAAATCCCACCCACTCATCGGGGGGAAAATACTTCAATACTTGTATTAAAATACAACCACACACGAGTTATTCAATCCATACAAACATTCACATAATTCTAGCTAGGATTTACAAGCTCTCAAGTGAAAGAAAGGACTACTCCATCCTAAGAAGTGGGATTACACAAAGGAGAAGAGAAAAGACCATCATGATAGGATTGCCTTCTTCCTTTTGTGTGGAGATCAACCTTTGAGGATGAGAATCCCAAATCTTGGAGCTTGAATGAAACCCTAAACTTCCTCTCTTCTCTTGTTCGACACTTTGTCTCTCTGGAAATATGAAGAATAAGAATTTTTCTCACATTATGTTCTCTCCCTTTTCTCTTTCATCTCAGCCCTCCATTTTACCCATATTGGCGACTTTTCACGGTCCCAGTTTCACGACCGTGAAATATAAGCATGGACCGTGATGTTGAGCAAAAACGTCATTTCATTAATGCTCTTCACGGTCTCGAGCTAATTATCACGGTCGAGTGGCCGTGATATTCTGAATGCTCGCGAAATGGACGAAACCCCTCTGGACTCCATGCACTTCACGGTCGGTGCCTTGTCATCCCGGTCTGGCTGACCGTGAACTTCTGGCCTCCACCGTGAACTCCTGCTGATTGCTCCCTTTTGATATGTTTTCGCCCCTTTTTGCCCAACTTTCGTTCTTGAGGTCGATTTCACCTGCTAGGATCTAAAACATACTAAAAACAAGCGCAACCTAGCATAAAACTGAGGAAATGGGGGTAAAATGTGTACAATAGGACCCGAATCAACCACCTCTCTAGAGGAGCCACCAAAGTTAGAGCCCTTCCCAACTCATCACGAGTAAGCATTCCTGAGGGGGGGCAATCTACCAGTCATTGTCAGCTTAGAATTCACCCCCGAACAAAAAAATGGCTGGTGATTCTACTAAGGAAGCATGAGAGAGCACTAGCATGGAAGATCATAGATATTAAGGGCATTAGCCCCTCATTCTGCTCTCACATAATCCTCATGGAGGATGAGATCAAGCTAGTGGACAACCTCAGCGCAGACTTAACCTCAACATGCAAGCTCTGGTCATGGCATAGATTATCAAATTGTTGGATGCCAAAATTATCGATCCGATCTCGGATAGTGAGTGAGTGAGCCTCACTCAAATAGTACCCAAGAAAAGAGGCATGACAGTCGTGCCAAACAAGAAGAACAAGCTTATCCTTGTGCGCAAAATAATAGGATGACACATGCTTAAGGAAATGCAATCAGTAGCTCGGGGAGTCTTGAGACTCTCCCGTTGATTAGTGTTTAACCTTTTAGGGATACAACTTAAATTTATTATCTTTGTTTTTTGTTTGATTCAATATGTGTAACTCCTCCAACTAGACAAGAGTCCATCTAACTTTGTCTGGAATGCGTTAGGATGAATACTAGTTTTTTGGTAACCATCGTGGCTACCTACATCTAAACCGTTCATTAGCTCTATTTTTTCCTTTTAAAAAAAACGGTCAAGATTAAATTAAAAATAGTTTTGAAATCAAAATAATATCACACGAGATTATTACCTATATTTATAACTTAGCTTCCCCAACCCTACGTCTACCCTCACCACCCTCCCACCTCCCCTCCCGCCCGCCGCCTCCCCACCTCACCCTCCCTAACTCCCCACCCCATCCCACGACTCATCTCTTCTCTCTCTCTCTCTCTCTCTCTCTCTCTCTCTCTCTCTCTCTCTATCTCTCTCTCTCTCTCTCTCTCTCTCTCTCTAACAGTAGGAAGGAGCCGATGGACAAGCGTCCTAGGAGAGTACTGGACGGCGGAGGACGTCAAAGCAATCGCCAGCGCTGGCCATCCTTTTATCTCCGACCCTCTCGTCTCAATGGTATTGTTTTTGTCGCATTTGTATTGATTTTATTGCATTGGTATTGTTTTTGTCGCATTGGTATTGATTATCATTAGTGTTATTAATTTTCATGTATTGGTATTGATTAAATCTGCAATGGTATTGAATTCTTTTTTGAAATAGTATAGATTTATATTGGTAGTTTTCGTGTAATGGTATATATTTATTTCTACAATGGTATTGATGTTTTTCAAAGTTGTAGTGGTTGTCTAATGGATTGGTAGTGATTTCGTGTTTTTTCTTTTGCAGAAAGATTGAGAAAAATCAGACAAGGGGATCTGGCTGGAGATTACGGAAATGAGAAAAAGAGAGAGAATTGTAATTAATAGATTTTTGTAACTAGCTAAAATATAATTTATTAAAAAATTAATTAATACAATTTATTTTTCCTACCCAATTTACTTTTAATAACCATGGTGAGTAGTAATCGTTGTAACCTGTCCCAACTTCGGCCGATTAAGAGATGTAGATGAGGTTATACATTTGATACTCAGGTCTATAACAACACGCTTATTTATCAACAATTTTTTAAAGGTAGTCAAATATTAGTTCTTTCTTGATAGGTATTGCCATATAAAAGGGGATTGCTTACCAGGCTCATCTAAGTATTTAATGATCTTTCCTTATCTGAAATTTAACCAATCATTTAAACAAAGAAGAGTTAGATCAGACAGAATCCAATCAATTAGATCATTAATTGGCCAACCGCAAATGGGAATACAATGTGGTTATGTGATTTTGTGTTATATTTCTTTTGTTGCCTATATTATACGTGGTTGTTTTTTTAGTAAGAAATGTGATTGTTGTTAGATTACATTAGACTTCTCTTCATAAACAAAAAAATTTGACAATCTTTTATAGTATGGATGTTTTATATAAATTTATTTTATTATACAACCCAAATATTACCTTTAATGGTATGGTACGAATTCAGTTTTTTTTTAATTATCTAAATTTAATTTACACCTATATTTTTTTAAAAAAATATTAATTATATTTATACATTTATATTATGATACAAACATATAAACTGTGTTTGTACATTGAAGACTATAGTACGAGTTCAATTTGTACCTCAAAACATATAGAAGCCTAAAAAAACATATATAGAAGGTTGTCAGAAAATATATTTATCTATGCATGCTGCATATAAAAAGTCTGGAATGGTTTTAGTTATAATTGGTGATTAATTAATTAAATGACGATGATCATCATCATGTATTGTTTATGGGTGACCTAACTTCATCATTCTCCATAGCCGACAAAGGCATTATTGAAAGTGCATGCTTTTCTATCTAAAATATATAATAATGCATAAATAAAAATCAGAGGTAGGTCCCAAAGACACTCCTCCTTGTACATCAACTTTCTAGTTAAGCAAAGATCCGGATTCTTGTTAATGGATCGTATTCCTCCTCTCACCAATATTAATAATTAAGTGAGAAAATATATTATTATTATTATTATTATTAGATTAATTAATTGTGTGTTTTGTGTTTGTTGCTAGGTATTTGGTATTGTGCACCAAAGACACGGTCTGCCTTGAAAACTCTCCAATCGTGTGTGGGCCGTTTTACCTACTTTTTGGTTTCTTTCTCAAGTTTTTCTTTCCCACACACAATAAAGAAAAGACAAAAGAATTCCAATGGCAACAACAACAAAAAGGAGGCTGTAGCTTTTCTTCAAGGTTGTTAAACTGGTTTAATTTTCACGGTTTAGCAAGTGGTATAGTTCAGATAGTGGTATGATTGATTAGTGTCGATTCAATCCGATTTAATAAAATATAAAAAAATAATTAACACCAAAAGAATTTAAGCATATATAAGACATATTTGAAGACAATATACTTACAATCTATATTCATATTTAAATCAACATTTCAAAAATAATAACAAATAATCATATTTAAACACAACATTTAACGTCAACACTCAAAGTTTTATACTTGAATCCAACAAATAAAATCAAAATTTTGCTTTTAAATTCATGAAATGAATTACAAATTAAGTTTTTTATTAATTAAATTTATTAAAACAACTTCGTTTTGTTTATAGATCGAAAGTCGCTCATGCCGATCATAACGATGGTAGTCACACCAATTTTATTACCGGCACCTGTTAAACTAGCTTCAACCGGCCGACATTTCGCTTGCGTGACAACCATGCTTTTCTTCCCATCATCATCACCATCTTCATCCTGGTTAAGAGAGAGCTCTTCCCACTTCTTCTCTTCTTTCCCCCACTTCTCAATGATCATATGCAAGAAAAAGAAATTGAAAGCCACCATCACCATCTTCATCCTGGTTAAGAGAGAGCTCTTCCCACTTCTTCTCTTCTTTCCCCCACTTCTCAATGATCATATGCAAGAAAAAGAAATTGAAAGCCACCCCCCTAGGGTGTTAGTGGTAGTGCACATCCCTTTCTATGCTTGCTAGATATAGCTAGCTTTTTCAACATCCAAATAATTCGCAAGCAAAGGAGGCGATTAAAATAAATAATATGTATAGCATGGGGACAAAGTTCAAATCCAAAAAGGAAACCCAATACTTCAAAAAGATTGATGATGATGATGATGTTGTATTATGTATATTAGTGAAGATTGGTCTTGAAACTAAAGAGACAACTTTATCATTATCTTGTGAAGGACTATGGCCATAAATGGTGATGTAATTATTTGGTTTTTTAGGATTAATTATCTATATAGTGATATTATATACAGGTTGTTAAATCGGTTTAAGTCATTGAGCCGGTCAAACAAAGGGTTTGAGATTTAATGGTCTGATCGGGGCCCGGCCGGTTTGAGCCGTTTAGATGTTTTCTAAATATATGTACAAATAAGGTAGTAATTAAAGATTTAATGACTGAAACAAAATTTATCTTGCATATATCTATTAAAAACTTATTTTTCACAAAATAAATCTACCTTTCTAACCTTCATGATCCACCCATCATCTCCCTTCCTTCGTTCCTCTCCCTCTCTTCCCCCTCTCTTCTTCTCCCTTTTAAGTCGTCAGACCGATGGACTTTCTGGAGGCCATTTTGAAACTTGACTCGGATCGGATCGGGTCCAACCGAGAGTTCAATAGGGGTCTAACAACCTTGATATACAGCCAAGGATAAAAATTGGGGGAAACTAAAGCAGGCTGAAAAGCGACCTCTCCCTCTCCTCTTTCAATCGTCTATATGGTGTGACGAATTAAATCATTAATTAACAAAAGAATGAAATTTGGGTGATGGATGAGCAATGTGGACATGGTACCCCATTTCTTACTGGTTAAATGTAGGGATGGAGTGGGAGACAGTTCATGTGGTGGGGAAGGAAGCAATATTGCATGTATTAATTATTATTAAAAAGGCCATACTTTGGGGACTCAAATATAACATTATTATTAGTTGTTAGCAGCAGCCTCCCTGCAATAATGGCATGATATCCAATCAATTTCCTCCAAAACCAAACCAAACTACTAACCACAAAGCGCATACAATTCTAATCCTGTCATTATTGATGATAATGATAATGATAATAATAATAATAATAATAATAAAGGTTGGGATTGGGGGAGGGTGAGAAAAGAAGAACACATCTCTCTCTCTATTCCAAACCCAATCTTCTTTCAATGAGTCTGCAAAGAAATGGGGATAATGTTAGGAGAAATGGAAACATGAAGAGGGTGAGCAAAAGAAGGGTGGGGAATCATAATTAGGACACCATAGCAAAAGAGAGGTGGGAATAAGAGTAAGAATAACAACATCAAAACTACTTGTGATTGTCAACAATTGCAAACTACCTTTTGTTAATAAATATCACACGATGCAGATGTTCGAGGCTTAACCAACCACTATATATTTGGGGGGAAAAATTCTCGATAATTTGCAATGCTTATTAAGCACGACTGGACAAAGTCAGAATAAAAAATATAAGAAAGGTGCAAGCACCATCATAAGAGTTAACTCACTCCTCACCTACATATACCAAGCATTACTACACATGATGACATGAACCAAGGCAAAATCCGAAGCAAATTCCAAGTTACCGCCGCCACCTTTTTAGAGTAATCACAGTCAAAAAATAAGTGACTTCGTGAATCATTAAATCCAGAACACAAGACACAGTTTGGATCAGTACTGCTCCTACATTATGCAATCAGTTTATCTCTAATAATGATCCTATACTTCATAATGAGCCAGACCACGAATCGATTACTAGGGATATTGTATTTGATCCATAGCAATTTCCACTAAGGAATAATAGTATATTTAAAGAGTTTCAGACCAACCTGATTTTGTATACGTCTCCATCAGTATTCCTTCCTAAGAGATAAACCCTCCCCCTTCTGCAATCAATCTAAAATGGAACCACTATCGGAGTTTGAGTAGTTTCTTCCAAATCCAGGAGCCTTTCTGGGCTCCTTTCAGATCCCATTAAAGCCTCCTTTTTGGAAAAAAATTAAAATTACGGTTAAAACAAAGAAGGTACAAAAATTCTAGGTGGACACTGATGGACAATGTAAGCTCCACGGATATTTTGTTCTACCAAGCATTTGTGGGAATGGAATTCCCCAAAAGATGCTATGATGATCCACTGAAACTCTTTGGCCGGTTTCTTAGTCACCGA